TTGAGATCAAACCTCAAGTGTTACTTCAGATAATATATATAATTATTAGCATAAGTTTCCTTGATTGTGTGTGGAAACTCCCAACCTCATTTGTGGAAGCCATGGTTTTGAATAGCGTTCAACAAACTAGCGTTATTTAAGCTATAGTCTCAGTTAGGGCAGTTGGTTGGAGAGGCTGGAGGAGCCGGTGGCTGGGAAAAGGACCCCTTTAAGTAGTTTTTCTTCAGGTGAATTGACTCAGATCTGTCAGGAACAAAGCTCTGCTTTTGTCATATTTTCTGTTTCATTTGTATGCTGCTTACTTAAGGGTGTGCCTATGGTGCTGGCTTCTGAAAGGAGTGTTAATACCTGTGCAAAATGACTATTACAGATTGAAGCTTTTGGTCACAACTGGATTACACAACACAAACTTTTATCTTCAAGATCACGGTGCTACCTAATTCTGCTTCTCCAGGTGGAATTGCCTTAAATCCATTTTGGCACAGAATACATCATTATTTTCATATTGTGCTAGTCTACTCTCCTGCTTTCATCCATATGAGCCAGGAGTGGATAAGAGTTGGCAACTTCATACTCGACTATTATATTGCAGAGTACGCTTTAATCAGCACCCTAATAAATAGCACGCCCAATTAATTGGGACATCTGCCAGCAAACCAATTCACTTCCCTACACTTCAGTGGCTGTAAATGATAGATAAATAGCACGCTTGCTGTTGTCTGCGAGTGTATTAGGTGTAATTAAAATTTGGTGGATTTGGTGTTTGCTGGCATGTATTTCCTCAGTAGCACTCTGCTCACTTTTGAGTAGGATCCCTGTTCCAGTGCAGTTGCTAAATATCAATAAAGGACAGATTTCCCTTTCAGTGTTTGCTTAAATCAATGTAGTGCTTTTGTATTAAAAAAATAATGAATGTAATTTATGTATTTCTATGTATTACATTCCTACATGGTTTTGACAATAAAGGTGATAATTTAATTAGCACATTTCTGTTTTAATTAGTATAGCAAACAGGCCTTTGCCATACCATGGAATAATTTATAATAAAGGGAGGATTTCTGCTGCAGCTTTCTAATGCTACATTTTTTTACCAGGGGTTGCATGGTGGTTTGCTTTAAAGTGGCATTTCCTTGAGGGAGATCCACAGAAGTACAATCTATTTTCTGAAACTGGTATATGTGATGACTTACTGTATGCATGTGACACTTTCTCTTATTTGGACACACTTTGCCAAAGTAAAATTGAACACAGCAAACCTTTCTAATCCCTGCATTCCTCACAGATTGCTTTAAGGGAGACAAAAAAAATTATTGGAAGTAAATGAATATGAAAAGAGAAATGGTACTGGGGAAATCTCAACAAGGGATTTTAAAAACCAGGATGGCTATGGATCAGCAAATGGTAGAAACACTCATGTAATTAAAGGAGAACATCATTTGTGGGTTATCGGAAAAGAATTGTCCGTGTTGGCATTTACTTTGACTCGTTGGCAGGAGGAAAAGAAACCGCCCTGTACCACTGCATACGGTTCCTTATTAGTTGTGGCTTCTGCAGAGGCTCCGTCTCTTCTTTGGAGCATGGAGGTTTTCTTTCATTACATAATCTGGATACTTTTTTTTTTTTTAAGATTAATTTTTTTTTTCTCTTGTGTGTGCAAATTCTCTTTGCACCAATGCTTCTACACTGAGGTTATTATGCCAAAGGAATGCAAGCATCTAGAGTAACAATGGTTCATTTTCCTTTAATGACTTTGTCGACAGGATGGAGACATTTTTGTGGTGTGATGAATTCACTCGGTCTCCCGTTGTGTTTTCTCCACATGCTTTGGAAACTCTCTCTCTCTCTTTCTCAGAGAATTGTGGCCATCCACTCCAGCAAGAGCTTCATTACTTTATATTCATTGTATTTAAATGACACCCCAGTGGTACTGACCTCCTGGGATGATTGATGTAAATTATATGCTATGTAGGGGAAAATAAAATCTTTTTCTGACTTTTTATGTTCTGCAGAGAAATAAAAAGTGAAAACAAATGACAGAGAAAATCAGGCCTATTCAACGTGAAACTTTGTAAGCATTATGGTTTGAGCAGACTCCAGTTTGTAAAAGTGCTGAGACAGTTCATAATGACCTTAGGGTCTGAAAGGTGACCTGAAAAGGGAAAATAATTTTGTATGTGCCCTTTTTTGGTTCTGTATAATGCAAAACAAAAACTTGATCAGGTTTTTTTCCTCTCTGTGAAGTGTAGTAAGAATTCAGACTTGAGGAGGGAGCAGCCACTGCACTTCTACCAGCTACACAAAGGCACAGTACTAGAAGGGACATTGTGTTCCTCGGTCCTCTTTCCTCCTGTCCTCTAGTAAATTTTTTTTGCATTGATTTAAGGTTTCATAGCCAGTAGGTACGTCTTGCTCAGTTATTCTGCCAGGAGTTATCACCTCAGAAGTGGCAACAGGGGGAATGTTCTTTCATCGGCCCAGCTCATCATCGGGCAGTAACTTCAATCACTTCTGAACTGGTAACCTCTCAGCGCGGGCAAAAGGGTTTTGCACAGCAACAAAATTTGTCAGAAAAATGTTCTGTCAGTGCTTTTTCAAGCACCTCACCAAGTCACAGTGCCTCTATCAAAGCTCCTACAAGTTATGTAGTTCACACTGGACATGCTCAACCATATTATCCCAGTAATTTCCTTATTAAAACTACCATATGGAATTGGCATAGTCATTTCTCTATTCTCTATGTTCTCATATATAGTCTGTCCTACTAATTCTGGTATATGTAAAGATATGCATGGTACACATCATAGAAATGCCAGCAATATGCTGCCTTGCCTTCCTCAGTTTAATGTAAGGTTTTGGCAAATTACAGAATTCAGCTAAAACTTGAGTTGCCTCAAGGAAGACTGCAGTACATTTCATAACTTGACAGAACGCTTTGATTCTCCTTTTGGCCAGGAAAATGCTTATCAATAATCTTGCTTTGGCTGGGGTTGCCCAGGTGTTTTAAAATGTATACTAGGAAGGAAGAGTTGAGGCCACCCCCCTCGCAGCAATAACTAGACTTTGCTGTGCATGCAAGAATCAGCACCACGAGGCCTCTTATTCTCTAGGATATTATCTTAGCTGCTTAGCGTTTTGCCCTGTTGCTGTCAGTCCTTGGGCTGGTATCGGCTTTACTTTCATAATCGTAAGCAACAGCAGAAGGGAGAGAGGCTGGCAGCACTCAGCAGCGAGCAGCAGAATTGCCTCGTCTTTCTGAAGCTGAGGTGGGAGGTGGGAACGGGAAGGAAGCAATGCAAAGAGAACTGATAGGGTGTTTATATGAAGTAGTAAGAAGAACAGGGAGTGAATGGTAGCCCAGAAAGAAAAAAAGGAAGTAAGGGCAGCAGAAGGAAGCTAAGGGAAAAAGGCGGAAAATAAGATGACTTTCTAATAAGCTGGAATTCTGATGGCCCCTAGAGCGTTAAGATCACTGCAGTGGTTGCCTCCTTCCTCGTCTTATCCCTCAAAAAAGAGAGAAGTAAAATGCTAAGATGTACATAAAATTACGATGTCTCTAAGCTGTCAGTTTCTTAGAATGAATCATAGTAGAAATAATATGGTCCCTGTTCAGTGTGCAGGCAGGAATTTGAAATTAAAGATGGACTGAGAAGGGCAAAGCAAAAGACAGATCACTGTAACTTTGGAAGTTATACACCCTGCAAACCTTCAAAAAAAGCAAGATTTTTGGTGGTGAAGAAAGCACTAACAGTTACTTCATTTACCTGTGTTGGTCACATTTATTAATTCCAGTTTATACCATGGTACAAATCAGCCTGTCTCCTAACAAACCTGCTTGTGTACTTGCAGATGAGTGGAATGACTGACCTGAACTCACAAAAACCTACAATTAGGAGGTGCTGAAGAAAGAAAAGGTGGAAAGAAGAAAGGAAGGATTAAAAGAAGAAAGGAAGGATTAGAAGAAAGATAGGTTTCTCCAGCTCCCCTAGTCAACCCGTTGAGCTGACAGGACGGAGGAAGAGGAAAGCCGCCATTGCCAGGAACCAGAGAGAAAACATAGGCCCTGCGCATAGGTGGAAGGTATTTAACCACCCCGATGCGTTTAACCACCCCAGTATAGACCAGACTGTTTCAGTCAGAAGGGACGTACAATGACCATCCAGTCCAACTGCCTGACCACGTCGGGGCTGACCAAGTCAAAGCATGTTGTTACAGGTATTTTCCAAATGTCTCTTAAACACTGACAGACTTGGGGCACCGGCCACCTCTCTAGGAAGCCTGTTGTGGCGTCTGACCACCCTCTCGGTAAAGAAACGCTTCCTAACGTCCAGCCTGAACCTCCCCTGGCGCAGCTTTGAACCATTCACGGTAGGGTTGAGGTGGTACACCTTGCTAGGTTGTAGCAAGGACCCACCGGTATTTCCAAGGCTAAAACTGTACGCAGGCAGCCGTTTTATGCAGCGGGGGGGGAACGCTGTACCGTTTTCAGACACCTCCACAGTGCCGTAGCGGCAGAGACGAGGCCGCGCCGCCACCCGCACGGAGCCCAGACACCTGTGTAACCGCACACACACCTCCCCTCCGCGGCCGGGCATCCAGCCTCTCCTCCCCAAACCCTTCCCGCCTTTTCGCACCCGCAGCAGCCCCGGAGCCCTCTTATCGCCCCCCCCCGGCGGCCCCCCCCGGGCGCTGGGGGGGAGGGCGGCCGGCCAGGGCCGCCGCTCTCTCCCCTCAGCCGCC